ATTTCTGCTCTTCTCTCTGCTTTTTCTTTCCTCCTTTCTGCCACAGGCCTGTGCTTTCTTCCTTTAGCCTATACAAACCTGTGCCACACGTGCTGCCACCCAGGCAGCCTGATAGCAGAGGGAGCAGCCTCTTTAGGATCCTCTGAGAAAGAGCCCCTGGGACCCTTTGTGTGAGTGTGTGTGTGTGTGTGTGAGTGTGTGTGTGTGTGTGTGTGGCACCAGTGATCACACCCTCTTGCTTGACTGCTGACCAGGGAGGCAGCTGGAACCGGTGAGGGCTGAGGGGAAAAGGACCCCATACACTGGGGAGACTGCGCGTCCTCTCCCCATGCCTTTCCCTCCTCTGCTAGGCCCAGGGGATGAAACTCCAAGACTGGGTAGCTGCTGAAATTACATCCAACTCTGCATGGCAAGGAAACGGATTTTGTCTTTAAAGCAGCCTTTGAGGATCTGACAAGAGATACAAATCCTTTCTCCAGGGAAAAACCAATTGCCCACACAGTTTGCCTATGATCTATGTGGTTGTTTCATGCAACCCTTTTTTTTTCTTTTCCTAATTTTACAGGACATTGCTTAAGAATTCCCATTTTAGCCAGGTGCCAGTGGCTCATGCCTGTAACCCTACTATTTAGGAAGCTGAGATCTGAAGATCATGGTTTGAAGCCAGCCAGGGCGCGCCGGGCGGGTGCCCTTCCGCTGGGCTAGACCCCCAGCCCCACCCCCCCATGAGACTCTTATGTCCAATTACTCAAAAAACAAAAAACCCCAAAACAAAACAAAAAACCAAACCTGGAATTGACACTGTGGCTCAAAGTGGTACAGCACTAGCCTTGTACAAGAGCTCAGAGACAGTGCCCAGGCCCCAAGAAAGTCCCATGACCAACCAAAAAAAAAATTCCCGGTCTAGAAGTTATAAGAAGCTGCTGCTACCAAAAATGCCTCGACAGCGGCTGGAAAGCCTTACGTTCAAATAAACTTGCGCCCACCCCCTTCCCGGCCTCCCCTTAGGAAAGTCAGAGCTAACTTCATGCAGAAGAAAAGGATCTAGAGCAGATCGATTCCTCAGTGACAAAGTGCAATTTGCCAGCTCCATTTCCTCTGGGCCATATGCTTGTTTTGTGGCACCATGCTTTCTGGATGTGGCTGTGTGACAATGGCAGAATAACCGCTTAGTTACGGCCAGACGCTCAGCCAGCCGGAAGGGATTGAAACTCATTGAGAATTCAGTCTCATGAAGATGAATTGTTTCTTTGCATTAGTAAACGTTTGTTGTGCCTCTTGCTCATGCTAGTGTGGACTGATAGTTTTCCATATGGAATATTTTCAAATGTTCCCGTTTCTTTCAGCCAACAGGTGGAGACACGTGTCTATGGGGTATGCATATGTGGCTCAGTAAAGGGGACCCACCAGTCAGGACTGGTGGAACAACTCCACTGTGAAACAAACCAAACCTCCAGACTCAGAGAGCAGCTTATTTGTTACTCATGCAAGGAATCATTTCTTCTATATGGTCCAGCCTTCTTTAGACTTTTTTTTTGTGCCAGTCCTGGGGCTTGAACTCAGGGCCTGGGCTTTTTTAATTTTTTTTGAGATTGATTATATAAATTTTACAAATTTCACAGTATTGTAGGATAGTGATAAAGTCACAAACACATTCTAACCTTCACAAGGCAAATTGACATTATCATGGTCTATAAAGTCTGTGAATTCTGTAAGCTTTGACAACTATTTCTTCCAAGTCGGGTGATACGTACACTTCTTTCCTTTTGCTTAGTGTAAACTGTTCCTTTCCCTCTCATCCCTCCCTCCCACTGCTGCCCTGGAGTTGCTTAGTTCATTTTCAGTGTCCAGTGCAGCTGGTGTGTCCCTGAGCTTTTGTGCTCAGGGCTTAGCACTCTAACCCCATGGGTCCACTTTCAGCTTTTTACTTGTTAATTGAGTATTATGACTGTACTGAGTATTATGACTGTATTTGTCCACCATTCCTTTTCTATTCATCCACCTCCACTCCACTTCCTCTCCGCTAAAAACTTGTTACAGCTTCCCATTATTCAACTGTTAATCGTTCAAAGGGCTTAAAGCATTGAGTTCCACTTCTGCTTGTACTATATTAGCCAGTGCAGTTTATCAGGAAGGAGGTATTTATCCAATCAGGAGAGAGAACCTGTGCCCTTTGTCTTGGTGGGCCTGGCTTCCTTCATTATTTTTTTTCCTTTTCCTTACAAATGGCATAATTTCTTCCTGATGGCCCTCAGCTCTTTTTGTCAACACTTACTGTATGTGAAGAGAAGAGGTGGAGAGAGAACGCTGGCAATTATACGCTCCAAACTGCATTTCTTTGACCAACACAAGTCACATACAGGATCACTGACTGGGAAGTAAGATGCACAGTGGGTCCGAGGAAGAAGGGAATCAAAAGATACATGTTACAATGTCTGCCTGAGGGAGGATGGTGCATGCTGGAAAATAAAACCATGTTTTTATGTGAATGAGAAAAATCACTCCCACCTTAGATTGTCCACTGCCAGCTTGGATGCTGTATTGCCAGAGGCTGTGCAGGACTTGAATCACAGAGGAGAGAAACACAAGCTCAGCCCCAGGATGGCTACAGATCCCTTCTGAATGCAGTTTCAGGGCCTACTACAGAGAGGCCTCGAGCAGAGGGCCCTGCGGCCTTACTAGCTGAGGACAGAGTTGGGGAGTTCAATGTGGCTTGAAATTAAAGTGCAGAGATAAAGAAGGGAGAGGAAGAGAGGAAGGAGATGGGAGAGAGCTTCGTTTATCCATGCTGTTGTAACAAAATGTCCCGAAGCAGATAGCTTACATGCAACAAAAAACTCATTTCTCAGGTCTGGAGGATGGCAAGTCAAGATCAAGGCTGTGTGTGGTGAGGGTTCCTCCTTATAGATGCCCTCACATGGCCCAGAGCAGACAAGCTGTGGGAGTCTCTTCCGGAGAGGCACTCATTCTGCTCTTGAAAGCTCTGCTGGCAGACTTTGGCCCAGCAGTGCACAGAAGAGCAGGCGATCCCCTAGGAGCTCTGAGCAGTTATGTGAGCAAATGATGTGAGCCAGAGATACGGTGCCTGAAAACCAGTAGGCGGGTCACCTGCTCCCAGAATGCCACCAGAACTCCCACTGGGCTGGATATAGGACAGTTTCAGCCAGAGTGCAGAAACACGAATATAGGGCATCTGACAAGATCCTTAGAACAGTGTCACCTTAGTAGGAGACAAAATTACTTCATGCTAAAAGGCTGCTCCCTTCCCTCTATAAGGCTTCACAACAAACCCATGATCCCAAACTGAAAACAGGGCCCATTATGCAGTTATTCCCTACTCCCCTCCCAACCTGAGGCTCGGGACCTTGCACACTTCACTTGGTGGGACGGATGGGATGCATCCTTTGCTTATTCACCTTGTATGATGTTTGTGTCCTAGTGGCTTCTAAGTTTTAAATGTTTTACTACTTTCAGTAATACCCGGCAGCATTTTTGGACTCCCATTTTTGGGCAGGCTCTCCCAATCCCTCCTCGGAAGATGTGGGCATGTGGAGTGGCATGTGGTCAGGGTGACAGCGGCCTGAGCCAGCATGTTTCCTTCCACCAGGACAAGGAGCCTCGGCTGGTGCGGGGAGGTCTGGACCCAGGGCACGTTCCTGTCAAGCACCAGTCTTGCAGCACCTGCTGCTCCCTCTGCTCCCACAGGGAGGAGAGGAGGCCTCTGTCTGCAGTGCCAAGTGACCTCGGGGGACCAGTGACCGCAAGCAAAGCGGACCACATTCTCTTCTCTGTGTGACAGCAAGGCCAGCCTTGTTTCAGCCAAGGTGTGTGGGGCATGATAACCATGCGGTGGGCTGACATTGGGGGGCTGCTGCTCTGGGGGGGGCGGGGCAGGCAACTGGTATCATCTGCTCAACAAGTGGACTCTTCCACCATGCCTTTCCTCTCTCTAAATACACACCTACTGCTTGTCTACTGCCAGGATTTGTGAAGTTCATGCAGAACTGTGATCTTGTGAAATCTACTTCCTGCAAGTGATTAAAAATCAAACCTCAACATATTGAGAACCAGCTTTGGGAAAGAAATAAACACTGCCTGGTGCTGGTGGCTCATGCCTGTCATCCTAGCTACTCAGGAGGCTGAGATCTGAGGATCACAGTTCAAAGCCAGCCCGGGCAGAACTATCTGTGAGACTCTTATGTCCAATTAATCACTAGAAAACGAAGTGGCGCTGTGGCTCAAGTAGTAGAGAGCTCGCCTTGAGCTGAAGAGCGCAGGGACAGCCCAAGCCCAGGGTTCAAGCTCCACAACCAACCGAAAAAAAAAAAAAAGAAATATATACCCTGTCACTGAAATTTTGCCACCCAAAAGAGAATCTTCCAAGTAGCTCATGGCTTCTCTATGCTTTTGGTTTTGAGTTCTTTCACTTTTTCTTTTCTTTCTTTCTTTTTTTTTTTTTTTGGGTTCCGGTCATGGGGCCTGAACTCTGGGCCTGGGCGCTGTCCCTCAGCTCTTCAGCTCAAGGCTAGCGCTCTACCACTTGAGCCACAGCACCACTTCCAGCTTTTTTCTTTTTGCTTATGTGGTGCTGAGGAATCGAATCCAGGGCCTCTGCCATGCAAGGCAAGCGCTCTACCACTGAGCCACCTTTCCAGCCCCGAGTTCTTTCACTTTTTCTAGCTCATATAAGCTACCACTGTTCTAAGGTCCCGTGCCATCTCCTTTCCCGTGTTCCTGGACCTTCCTCCTGCCAGTTAAGTCAGTACATGTGTGAGGCAGCCCAGGGCAGCATGGGTCTCTTCCAGTGTCCCAGGTGATTGCGACCAGCTTTCAGGACTGGGGAGGTGCCCAGGCCCAGAGTTCAAGCCCCACAACTGTCCAAAAAAAAAAAATCTATGGAACTAAATCATTGATTCATGTCAGCAGAAATGCTGAGGGACCATTTTGGGCAGCTAGAACAAGAAACAACAACAATAACAACAGGCAAAGAAACACCAGAGTGTTTTGAAAAAGTGTTTTGAGAATTTACTGTACAGTTTTTTTAAACAATTTATTTATATGTTGGCTTCTACATGCTTTTACATTCGTGTAAAATATACATATTCTTTACAATTTGTACATATATTAAATGACTGTATCATAAACATTGTTCTATGGGATTTTATAAAAGAAAGATCAAGTGGGGAAATCTACTTATAAAACATGAACAAAACCCGTGATACTGAAGAACAAGAAGTTCTCCTATTCGTGTTCACTGAGTTCCTCCTCTACCTATTTTTTGGTTTCATTTACTTATGTGGGCCCAGACTTTGCATTCTCTAGAATATAATCATTAGGTCAGGTGATAAGGCAGTGGTGGAAGGCGGGGCTGGTCTGCAGGAGGGAGGCAGTGAGTGGGCAGATTTCAAGCCTACAGCGTGCTCTGTGCCATTAGCGGGTGTATTGGGATCGGAAAATCCCATCTTAAAGTCAGGACAGTCGGAACAAGTATCACTTTGCTCTTTACGCTACTGCAGGTTGTGCAGGCACTACTCAATGCAGTAGTTCTGAATGTTCTCACTTGGTCTGTGTATGGGGGGGTTTCATCTGGCTTTCATCTGCTGCTTTATACCTCCAGGTTATCAGCAGCATGCCTCCTCCTGGCTGATGGGCAACTGGAGATCAGGCCCGGGAGGCTGGAAGCTTGAAGAAGCTGTCCTTCTCCAGCTCATGGGCACAGGAGGCAGGACGGCTGTCCATCGGAGGGCAAAGCCAGAGAAGCTCTCAAAAAGTTTCTAACTTACTCTCTTTAGTATGAATCAGCCTCACCCGGAAGACAATGCTGACTGCATGGAAGAGCAGCGCGGCACAGGACCCCGCAGGCGTGGGGCCCTGCGCTCCCCCCTCCCGAGATAGGAGCACTTGGTGACAGGTGTGTCCTGGGAGGGTGCCGACTGTCCTGAGCAGCCAGGAACCCAAAGGACCGAAAGTTATAAAAATATACAAACATATATATTTTTATTCTGGCATAGTTTATAATTTTAAGAAAGCCATTAGTAATTAATTATCTGACATTGGGTAACAACTATAAGATCACCGTAACATAAGCTTCGATTCTATGTAAAATATTGGTGGAGGGCATCCCCTAATTCTCCATTCAAAATCCTAAAAATTTAAGTCCTTCCAAAAATAGAGACAATTTCCATTGGTTTAAATAACGAGATGACCATCCCTCAGCAGTGGACGTAATTCACTAACAACGAAAAACATTTGTGAAAACCCTCTTTTGTTTTTGGTTTTCTTTCTGTTTGTTTCTTTCAGGTTTTCTTCATGAGAGGGAGGAAGACAAGATGACTGAGTGACATTGTCCCAAGTCAGAAAGAAGCACTTGGGCGTTTCTTCGTGTCTGGTCTGCTCTGCTCTACATGACGGGGAAGCGGCTGAGGGCCTGCCTCAGCTTCTCTGCGATCTGGCGAGAGAGTAAAGCCACATGTGGAGACACGATTCCGCGTGACTCCAGCACCTCCCACCACCCACACTTCGCATGTGTCAGGCTCTGCAGCCAGTCCATGCTTCCTGTTGCTCCTCACACCCACCTGGTCTGTGCTTCGGTGGGGAGTTGGTAGGGAGACCTCCTTCTCCACAGCGGGCCAACCGTGGTACCGCTGTCCAAGGAGAAGCCTTCCTCTCTGTTCCCAACTAGCCCATGGGCGGCACTGCTCCCTGCAGAGTGCAGTGGCTCAGGCCCCTGTGCTGGCCTCTGTCCCTTTCTTTCTCTGATAAGTATGAAGGCCGAGCCTCCCTAAAGGACTGCAGCAACCAGTGACCGCATGGTGTGTGGACTGCAGTCAGAGCAGGCGGTGCTGCAGTGTCTCACAGACGCCAGCCATGCCTAAGAGGCCGGGAGGTCTGTTGTCCCTGGGTCCTAAACAGCTGAAGTACATGGTAGAACTCAATACACGTTTGCTCCCTGAGCAGACATGTCACATGCCGGTCATTTAAGTTAGAGCTGAGGTCTGGCGAGCTCTATTACTTGTTCACCTTTATGCAGAGACAGTAATGAATAGCTTTTTAGTTTGAATTCCAAAGTCATTAATTAAAAAAAAACAAACTAGGGCTGGGAAGGTGGCTCCGTGGTAGAGCGCTTGCCTTGCATGCCTGAGGCCCTGGGTTCGATTCCTCAGCACCACATAAGCAAAAAGAAAAAAAAAAAGCCAGAAGTGGCGCTGTGGCTCAAGTGGTAGAGCACTAGCCTTGAGCTGAAGAGCTGAGGGACAGTGCCCAGGCCCAGAGTTCAGCCCCACGACCGGACCCCAAAAAAAAAAAAAAACAAACTACTTAACGGGAGTCTTTAATGCCCATTTGCCAGAGGATTAGGAAATGCTGCAGTGCTCTTTTTTTTTTCTCCTACTTTACCTGCTTCGACAACAAATCTTGCTAAAACTTAAAAATTACTTACAAAGCAACATCAGAATTTCACGAGGTGCCCTTCCAGTATTTTCTCAGACACAAATGCAATCTGAGGACACGCAGAGACCACTGGCACCGGCTGTGAGGCTGCTGCGCGAAGCTACCGCGCTGCTGCAGGGGCACGCGGCTCCCGCTCCCACCTCACGCTCGCTCCCCCCCTGCACCAAGCACGCCCTGGCTCCTTCCAGCAGCTCCGCAGGAGGCTGTGGTGGTGACTCTCATGGGCAGGGCTGTGAGCTGAACACACAGCCCCAGCCCCATCCTCACAGCTCAGCTCCACGCATGCATACAAGATCTGTTTTACATATACTCTGCTAGCCAAAAACATCATGACACAGAAGAATGAGGTTTCAAGTTTTCTAAATAAAGAATTTAAGATTTCTTTCTCTCTTTTAGAGAGAACATGGAGACTTGTTTGGTAACTACCTTTGGCTTCCTCCCCAGCCAGAGGAGAAGCTGGTGTGGAAGAGGGGGAGGCGGGGGGGGGGGGGTGGAGGGGAAGGCGAGGGGACCTTACCTCACTCACTGTCCCTGTGCTGAGAGAGGGGAATCACACAGGATTTCTTGGGGCTTCAGAACAACATCTAATGCCTCTTCCTCAGAAAAAGCCCTTTAGACCCAGCAATACCCCACAGGCAGAAACCCAAGCCTGCGCAAAACTTAGTCGCCTCTGGCTTATTTCTTAAAGATTAAAGATCATTACGAGATACTGACTTGACTAGTCAGTTGCTGAGCACCAACCTTCCTGTGCTTGGAAATGTGTGGGAGGTGGGGAGAGGGGAGACGAGGGGGAGGCGCCTCTTACCGTTTCATAGAACTGTACTTGCTGCTCCAGGTAGAGGCGGATGACACTGTTGTAGTCGTAGATCCGGTTACTGTGGAAGTGATTCATCTCAGCTAAAACGAAAGCAACGAAGCCATTAGTTTCCCTCAAGATTTCAAATGGCAACAGCTGGCTTCTCCGCTTGGTGAGACTTTGCCATCAAGAGGACCTAATCCGGCTGACAGTGGCCCAGGGCCAGTTCTTGGCACATGGATGGACTGCGGCTAGAGGAGTGGTGGCAGTGGCTTTCACTGACGTGCTCATTAGGTACTATGGACATCCTTGCCCCTGCCCAGGCATGTGCCAGGCATGTGCCGGCCACGCATCATGAAAACACAGGGGCGGCCACTCGCTGCTCCTCTCCACAAGCACTCCACTCCAAATGTTAACGAATGCCTTTCTTTTGCCAACAGTCAAACTATGTCTAAAACGATTCCTATAAATTCTCTTTACTCCACAGTCCTGATTATGCAAGTTATATTGCTAAAAGCTGGGCTCTGGGATTAAATATAGCACAATATTAAGGGCTATAAAAGCAGTTTTCAGTGTGTCTATAAAAAGTATTAAATGTACCGATTTAACAAGCTGTCATTCACTGAGCTCTACCCAGTAAGTGTGAGCAATCACACTGTAGATTTCCTCCTGCAGGGAGGGGCTCATGACAGCCTTTAAACCGGTTCTAATTGGATCGTTGCTCACACTGGGTTTCTCTCCAGCAGGAAGGTCTCCACTGGCTATTCTTAGCCCCGCTTCTTACCTTGCAAAGCGTAAGACATGGTGCCCACTCGCTTCACCATAGTCTGTTTGTCCTGTGGAGTGATTTTGCTCGTTGCAACTAGCTTGTCACTTTCCTTCACCTTTTCTATGGCTCCCTGTGAGGCAGAGAGTGCAACAGTATTAATGAGGCAGAACAAAAAGGCCTAGTCATTAGCTCAACGCCCAGCAGTGATGTCTAGCTGTAATTAAAGCTACTGGGACAGTGGGACAGGAGAACCTTGGGTTTGACACCAGCTGTGGAAAAAAAAAAAGGTAGGAAGACCTTGTCTCAAAAACAAAAATGAGAAGAGTGGAGGCCAAGGCATAAGGCAGAATGTTTTCCTAGAATGTCTAAGGTCCTGGGTTTGTACCACAAGTTAGTTAGGTTATATAGACAGACAGACAGACAGACAGTGATATTAACCTGTCCTTGGCCCTCAACAGGAAAACACTGCAACAACAAAAACAGAGAAAGGCTTCTACGTTCAACTTCCTTCAACTCTCTGGGAAGTCAAAGGGCTGCTGTTTTTGAAAAACTGTTACTAACCTAAAGTTCAAGTTAGTTTAATGCTACAATAGAAAAGAAAACCAAGTATCATACTGTCTCTCTAATATCTGTAAGATGCTGATATTAATTGTACATAATAGGGAGGCAGGCCTTGGTCGGTTCAGAAAGTCATGTGGTTAGGTACATTGCAGTGCATGTAAGTGCTCCCCCTGCCCCGCTGAGTATTTTATGAGCTGGTGCTTGAATGTGTCAAGCACAAGGCAAGGCCGGCCTTTGGATCTGTAAGAGGCACTGAGTCACCCTAAGTTAACCCTGAGAAAGAGGTAGTTGTTTCTCACTCCAGTGTTACTGCTTACTGTTTAGGGTGTCAGGAAAGAAGCACTCTACATTCTATGCACATATTAGGTTCCATGCCTAGAGCTCTAACTGTGCTGGCATTAAATGAATGCTACCAGAAGCTAACTGTGAGGTTTTTAAAAAACATTTTAAAAATTATTATTATCTTTTTTTTTTTTTTTTGGGTCCGGTCGTGGGCCTGAACTCTGGGACTGGGCGCTGTCCCTCAGCTCTTCAGCTCAAGGCTAGTGCTCTACCACTTGAGCCACAATGCCACTTCTGGCTTTTTTTTTCCTGCTTATGTGGTGCTGAGGAATCGAACCCAGGGCCTCATGTATGCAAGGCAAGCGCTCTACCACTGAGCCACCTTCCCAGCCCAAAAATTATTATTATCTTTAAGTAGTTGTACAAAGAAGTTCCCATTCTTCCAAACAGTTATGAGTACACGGTGTCTGACAACATTGCCACCCATCGCTCCTAACCCATCCCTCTACTGCTGAGTTTTTACATTAAGCTACCTGAAGTTATACAAAGTTTTTTTTGGTTCTTAAATGATGCAGCGTATCTTAAACTGGCCACGTGGCAGCGGTGCTAAGATTGCAGAACAGCCCTTTGTAGACTTTCCTAACAAACCCAAGGCGGTGCTGATGCACTAGAGTCTGCATGCCAAGGTGATGAAACACATTCAGGACTGAGACAACATGGAGATTTCAAAAGGCAAGAGGAAAACTAACCAGAATTAAAGCGCGAGAATGCCTCAAACCAATTTTAAATGTAGTTTAAAAACTTCTGTTATGGAAATTGTAATTATTCTTTCATCTCCAGTTCAAGGTTAGTTATAGTGAAAGTGAGGCCAGCCTGGACTACATCATATAAGACTCTGTCTCAAAGAACAACCAAGAGCAAAAGATCAACATTGAAACAACAGACTCGGGGTCTGCCAGTCTGCCCGGAGTCACCTGGCAGGTGTCCTGTGTGTGTGTGTGGGGGGGGGGGGGGGAGGAGGGGGGAGGGAAGGAGGGGCAGGGGAGGAGAGGGGAGAGGGGGGATGTTACCTTGTGAGCACCAATGATGTCTGGGAAGCAGCCAAGAAAGCCTTTGTACTCGTGGTTGCACTCCATCAGGAAGTGAAGGTCCTTCTTTGGCTGCAACAAGACACAGGCTGGCTGTTACAGGGAGAGGGACTCAGAAAGTCAAGGAAAAGAAACTCGTCTATGTGGGGACTGCATTAGCCAAAACGCCCAGGTGTTTGTGTGCATGTGTGTGTATACAAAAACTTAATTCAAGAAGTCATTTGAACTTATTTATAGTTCTACCACTGAATCCCACTAGCTGGCTTTCCATGAGTCTCCTGGACATTTCTTCACAGGCTGGCTTTGAGCCTTGATTCTCCAGGTCTCAGCCTCCTGAGTAGTTAGGATTATAGAAATGAGGTAGTATTATCCTGCTTATTTCGTTTTTAATTTAGGGATTTGAAATAACCCCTGTGATTATCCTTTTACAGGAACTTATTATCTGTTATCTGTACAAAGAACTGAAATTGGTAAAGACTTTAGTAAATAACACAGGCGTGCCCTAGGCTGAATCTGTGCTGTGTGTGTACGTCTCTGTGTGTGCATGCATGTCTGTGTGTGTTTCTGGGGATAGAACTCAGGGCCTCCTGCAGGCCAGGCAAGCTCTCTACCACAGAGTTACACCCCTAGCCCTCAATTTTTCTTTTTAATCCTAAGAACCATACAAAGTAGGCACTACTTGCCATTTTAGTTGAGGAAACCAAGGCTCAGAAAGGCAATTAATAATCCAGGCAGATCTGAGGCAGTGTTCTCTCGTGTACATTATGATACTGTGATGGCTAAGAGCAATCCAGAGATGTCCATAATGGAAGGCATTCACTTGGATTTTTTTCTTCTTTTAGTTCTGGAGATGGAATCTAGAGCACCACCAGTGCTAAAAGCAAGCACTCTTCCCTGAGCAATAATCTCAACCTTGTTAGGCATCTTGATGACACATCAAGACTTTTCATCCATTTTGGTATCCAGAGATACACTATTCTCAAAGACAACACAGGCACAGAAAACAAGAAGGCCTTTCTATGGGTCTGTCTGATTGTGTGGACTGACAGCATAAACATTAGCTGGGCCGTGTGACTGCATCAGTACCTGCTCTGCTACAAGAGTGGCAATCTCCTCGTAGGTCTTTCCTGCTTCTGTGATTGCATCGTTGAGGTCGGTCTCACCTAAAAAGATTGACAGTCTCACCAGCAGCTCCAACTTGGTATTATCTTCCTTGCTTTTCATTAAAATAAATAGCTTTGTTCCACACCTTATTGATATGTACTAGACATTTTCAAGCACTTTTATGTGTTGTTTTTTTTTTTTGGGTCCGGTCGTGGGGCCTGAACTCTGGGCCTGGGCGCTGTCCCTCAGCTCTTCAGCTCAAGGCTAGCGCTCTACCACTTGAGCCACAGCACCACTTCTGGCCTTTTTCTTTTTTCTTATGTGGTGCTGAGGAATCGAACCCAGGGCCTCATGCATGCAAGGCATGCGCTCTACCACTGAGCCACCTTCCCAGCCCTCAAGCACTTTTAAACTAGTGAGTCCAGTCTTGTGAATCTCCACCAGTTTCTTGTAGGAGATTGTGGGTACCCTGGGGAGATTAAATCTCTGGGGAGATACAGGCTAGAAAGAAAATACAACAGATTATCACCCTCCACGGTGAGACCAAGGAACGGGCCAGTAACAAGGCCCTTCAGTGTGGTTACTGTTGGCTGCAGGAGCCTGCGCAGGGGAGCGGTCAGTGAAGACATGTGCTCTCAAATGCAGCAATGACCAAACTAGATTGGCCAGGGGAGCAGGGCAGAGGGCTTGGCCTATGGCTGCCAAATGCAGTTAGGAGTAAGCCCAGTAAGGTGACCATATAAAGGGTTAAGAGAGGCTTGAGGGTTCCAAATATAAAGAAACAACAAAGGAGATGAAAATATCAGTTCCCAGGGAATATACATCTGACATAACATACTGTAATCCACAGGTGTATATAATTATGAAGTCTTACTAAAGAAAACAAAAACAACCCCCAAAAACATATACCTTGGTAACCACTAGAACTAAACACCGTTGCTAAGCCCTGTAACGCCTTTCCTATCTTCTGGTATTCCTTGGGTAGTGCTGAAAGAGAAGAAAGAAGAAATGGTTAGCTATACCTCTGAGCAGACTGAATGGATACAACTGTCTTTTTTTTTTTTTTGATCAGTTGTGTGACTTGAACTCTGGGCTTAGGCCTGTCTCTGAGTTCTTCAGCTCAAGGCGGGTACCCTACCACTTAAGCCACAACATCACTTCCGGTTTTTTGGTGGTTTACTGGAGGTAAGAGCCTCACAAACTTTTCTGCCCCGGCTGACTTTGAACTGTGATCCTCAGGTCTCAGCCTCCTGAGTAGCTAGGGTTACAGGTGTGAGGCACTGGTGCCTGGCTACAACTGTCTTTTAACAGCTGTTACTTCCTAGTAATAGACATTAGAGCTGACTAAAATAGTGCATAGTCTTTAATAAAATGCTGGTACAAAAATGATGAACAGATTACTGATTTCTTCAATTAATCTTTTAAATCATTATTTCATTGCCTAATTAGTGATGGATGCTGCCATGCGTCCATCCCCTGCACTCACTGGATGGAACACAAATGAAAGGACATTCCCTCAGGGGGCTCCTTGGGGAAAAGGCGCACACACACACACACACACACACACACACACACACACGCGCGCGCACACACACACACACACACACACCACATCACCCCACACTCAGAGATGCCATCTCCACTGAGAGGAACAAGGCACAGAAAACCTACACGAGGGGCCCACATCACAGGCAAACCAATAACCAGCTGGACTAACGCTGACAAAACAGTGTGGTGAGAACGATGAGGCGACTCACTTCTGATCTCATGCTAGCTAGGATTCTGGGGTCACTGGGGTCAGGGTTTCTGCATCGCAGGCCGCTCTGTATATGTGAACTGAGCCCCTCAAGGGCTTCTGCAGCCTTTGGAAAAGAAGTGCTGCTTGAGCTATGCTGCAGGCTATGGGGGCTGAGTCCAGAGTGAGCTGGCCGAGGAAACTTTCTGAGCTCGCTTACCCAGTTTCTGCCTCTACATGGAGTTAAAGATCCCATCAAGAACTTAACCACAATTTTCATTTTTCAGAATAAGATTTTTAAAGTCTATTTTTGTAAGAAGAAAAAAAAATATTCCTGAATTAACTCCTACATCAAGTGCCGCAATTTCTCCCTATCTCCAAAAGAGCAGCAGTCTTCATCCAGCGTTTCCTGGTGTATAACCGTGACTTCTGAGTATATAAGGCATACAGTGGCCACACATAAGGGACTGAATTCTGTAAAAGAAACCCTAATGCCGCATTTGTGTGATGTCCTTAAAAAAACTGGATCCTGCTGGGTGTGGTATCTCACACCTATAATCCTAGTTACTCAAGAGGCTGAGATATGGGAATCCCGGTTCAAAGTCAGCCCAGGTAGGAAAGTCTCGAGACTCTTACCTCCAATTAGCCATTAGAAAACTATTAGTGTTGCTGTGATTCAAAGTGGTAGAACATTAGTCTTGAGCAAAAGAGCTCAGGAACAGTGTCCAGGCCCTGAGTTCAAGCCCAAGACCAAGCAACGAAACAAAACAACAACCAGAAAAAATTGGATTATTAGGTTTACAATCGCTTAACCCGTTTCCCCCAAAGGACACACAAATGTAAGTGATTTGTTATGATGGCCTTGCAAGAGCTTTACAGCTACAATAAACTTAATTTTTGTTGTTATTGGTTTCTTATTTGTTTTGATGGTTCTAGTTCTGGGGATTTAATTCAAGGTCATTGCACTTACTAAGCAGGTGCTCTACCACTTGAGCCATGCTTTTAGTTCATCTTTTGCTTCTTGCTTTTCATTCACTTTTTCCTGGATTGGCCTAAACTTCCACTTCTACTTCATACATGGCTGGAATTTCAGTTGTGAGATGCATGCTCACTTTTCTTTTGTTGAGACAGGGCCTTGCTAACTTTTTATTACTATCTAGCCTTTAGCCATTATCCCCCCAATCTCTTTCTCCTGAGTGGCTGGAATTATAGGCATGAGCTATCAAGCATGCCTAGATGCATTTTTCAAAGTTGACTTCTTTCACTTACACTTTATTTCAAATTAATTATTTTTGCAATGTCGAGGGTAGAACCCAGAGCTTCAGACATGCTAGGCAAGCCCTCTGCCACTGAGCTCCATTCCCAGCCCTCCTCCATTTATGCCTAGAGAACAGCGTCACTGGATGATGGGTTGTGCTGTTCCATCCGGGGCGACCTGCCAGCAGAGCTGCACAGCCCTGTGGATATGAACAGCACCTGACTCACAGCATGGTCGTCCGCACACCAATGACAGGAAGACAGAAGTTCTTAGAGCCAGGGAAGGTGAACAGGCCATGGCTGACACCCCTCTCCCCTCTGTAGTAACCTAATCCATCTGACTCACCTGATGTTATTTTCTATTACCTATTCTGGCTTTTCCCAAAAATTAGGGCTTCATCAAATATAACACATCTTACCACATGGATACAGATTAAAAAATAAAATCATGAGCAGGACTCCAGAGTCTTTAACCTATAACTTTGCTTCTGGGAAAAGAGAATGGTAGGATCTCAGTTCAAGGCCAGACCAGGTAAAATGTTTAAGAGACGCCATCCATCCAATAGCAGATGGTGGTATACACTTCCCATCCCAGTTATGTGGGAAGCTAAGACTGGGGGGTAGTGGTTCCAGGCCAGTTCAGGCAAAAAATCTGACAAGATCCTATCTCAATAGAAAAAGCTGCACGTGGTGGTGTGTGCTTACCACCCCAGCTACAGTGAGGAGTGTAAATAGGAGGTTCACATTCTAGGCAAAAATAAACCATCTTAAAAGTTAACAAGAGCAAGCTGGATACTGGTGGCTCATGCCTGTATTCCTAGCTACTCAGGAGGCTGAGATCTTGGGATGCAGGTTTGAAGCCAGCTAGGCAAGAAAGTCTGAGAGACTCTTTATCTTCACATAAAACCAAAAAGCCAGAAGTGGAGCTGTGGTTCAAGGGGTAGTGCACTAGCCTTGAGCAAAAAAGCTTAGGACAGTGGCCAGACCCTGAGTTTAAGCCCCAGGACTGGCATACACACTATACATATCACACACACACACACACACACACACACACACACACACACACACACACACACACACATCACACATACACACAAACAACCAGCAAAAAAGGGGGCTAGAAGTTTAGCTCATATAGTAGTGGAGTGTTTGTCTAGTGACCATGAAGGCCTGAGTTCAAACTCCAGTACCACAAAAATAAATAAAAATCATTAACTGGATGTGTAGCACATGTCTGTAATCCCAGAACTTGGAAGCTAAGCCAGAAAGAATGAGAGTTGAGGGCAGCCTGGGATACATGGTTAATTCCTGCTCAAATAAAGAAGCAAATTTGTAAGTAAAAATAACTAAGTTCACTCTGAACAATGAATTAAATTTCCACAGAGTATAAAACCCCAAATAACTGAACATTAAACATAGTGTGGCTTCTTATGAGGCTTTTTGACTTGAACTTTGTTGGGTGGAAAAGGAGAGTGAAGCCAAAGCTATGTCACCCTTGTGTGTGAGGGGCAGGGTCCCCACACCCAGCAGAGGCACTCACGCCCAGTGCAGCGCTTCCAGTGCTCCTGCCCCACGGTCAGCAGCTCCTTCACACCGTCATCCATGGCCTTGGTGAATTTCCCCACAGCATCACATTTCTGTTCTCTGTGGGCAGAGACACCATCAGTCACATAGGAGGATAAGGCACTGATCACGCAGCCCCAGCTGCTTGCTTTCCTGCATGCTGACACCTGCCCTGCAACGAGGTGAGTCTTCGAAGGGGCTGGATTCCGACTTTCAAAGAAGTACTTACAATCTGCCATGTACATTTTAACTTTGCTTTCTTTCCTCCTCAATTCTTATAAATTACTCTAAAGGCAATAAACCCATCATTTCCTGAATATGTTATTTAGGGAAGTGTTGGGATTGTTTATTTATTATTTTAATGAAACACAGACAAAAAAGGCAGAACATACCACATAGTAATACTTAAGACAGAACCGCCTTATGGATAAAGAAGATCTACCAGCCTGCAAAGACCATGACATACCGCTGGATCAAAAAAGGTTGTAAGATAGAATATAGGGGCTGTGCTATAGCTCAGGTAAGCATGAACTTATTAGCATGTGTCAGGCCTTGGGTTCAAGCCCTGGAACCAAAATTGAAACACCAAGCCAGCTAAACGAAACCCAAGAATATAAAGTAAGATTATTTAATTTAATCACACAGTTTTCAAAAGTATATATGTTTAGAAGAGTTTGGAAGTCTGTAAACAACATTCTAACACCAATTATATTTCTCTTCTGAAGGGAAAAATTAGAGGATTGTGTTTTCATGCTTTTTTTCTATGTTTTTGGTTAATATATAGCAATAAACTTTTTTTAAACTAGTCTTGGACAAAAAAGGAGCCTATTTTAAGCAACGATTAAATAATGTGAAACACACAAGCAAAGCAGGGTACACACTTCTTTTCTTTCTTTTTTTGGGGGGGGGGGGGAGGGTCCGGTCGTGGGGCCTGAACTCTGGACCTGGGCGCTGTCCCTCAGCTCTTCAGCTCAAGGCTAGTGCTCTACCACTTGAGACACAGCGCCACTTCCGACTTTTTTCTTTTTGCTTATGTGGTGCTGAGGAACCGAACCCAGGGCCTCATGCATGCAAGGCAAGCACTCTACCACTGAGCCACCTTCCCAGCCCCCAGGGTACACACTTCTTGCTTCACAGCAGTGCTTGCGAGCTTTCTGCAGGGCTGTGGGTACAGCTCGGGAGGTGAGCACACGCATGCTAGGCTGTGGATTCCATTCCCAGCACTGTGAAAAAAACCCAAAAACTAATCTGCCTTGCTGGATACTGTGGGTGCTGGTGGCTCAATGTTGCTTTGGCTCCGTATGTTTTATTGGAAATAATTGTGTCAACTAGAAAATCTGATAAGCCAGAAAGCCAGGACTAAAGTGAGCACCTGATGTCCTTGTTACCTGACTGTAAACCCCCACTCACTTCATGTGAATTACAACTGTGAAAACCAGGCCCCAAGTGTAAGCCGGAGAAGGTAGATGGAGATGGAGAGGAGGGAAATTCGGCAGTGGCCCTTACATTTCTATTAGGTCCAAGTCAGGTGCCTCTGGTTCCATGGTGGAAAATATCATAACTCCCACCAGCTCATCTTTTTCTGCCTTCCTCTTTCCGGTTTTCCATTCCTGTGAGAACAGTATGACGATGTTAAAGGGGCTGCAGTTCAAACTGGCCTGCCAAATTCCTGAAGCAAAGTAGCTGGCACTCCTTTCTTCCCAAGCACTGGGAGATGTTAGATGGTAGGTGCCTAACACACCCATCTTTCACCTCAGGGCATGACCGTGAGGCCAGGCCCTCTCACAGTGAATACTTCAGCCACAATTCCTTTTCCAGTGCCACAGGGAATACAGTCAATTTGGACAAACACAACCGCTTTCTAAAAAAGTAATGCTTTTCCAAAATATTAGAAACTTAAAAACAAATAGATTCTGAGCCTTATCTAGTTGACCCTCTCCCTTCCTCTCTCCCCACAAACACACAAGGTGTCCCAAGCAAAGGTGGCATAGTGAATCCCCACAGTGAGGGTGCCACTATCTTCTTTATGGAGGACACAGGAGAGAGCTACCCCCAAATTATTGCTACTTTTCCCAACTGGCAAAGAACCCCACAGTATGCTCTGTTTAGTGCCTGTCTTTTTTGGTTCCACCTATGGTTATGAGCTACACTGATGCTGACATGAATGCGCAGCGCACTCCTTTCATGTGTGAGGATGACGGCCAGGTTAGCGGTCTGCTGTTCCAGTGGTAGCCACCTCTAGCGAGTGAGGGCTCCCGACAGGTCTGCACTATTTCTCTCTGGTATATTCCTAGAAGCGGGGATGCTGGGTCCTGAGTACGTTGAGTACTCAGTTGGCAGTTCAGTAAAGCTGTTTTCCTATTGATTTCTTTCTGCGTTCCTAGGGCTTGAACTCGGGGCCGGGCACTGTCCCTGAGCCTCTCTGTGCTCTTGAGCCACAGCACCCCTTCTGGCCTTTTCTGTTTATGTGGTACTAAGGACTTGAACCCAGGGCTTCATGCATGCTAGGTAAGCACACTACCACTAAGCCACATTCCTAGTCCCCTCCAATTTTTTTAAACCAGTTTTCACTGCCACCAGCAGAGTATGGGTCCCAGTGGCATGTCACCCATCTAGAAGACACCTGGCATGTTCAGTCCTTCCTTATTTATCCAGTGTGGCTGCAGTGTGCATTTACTTAACTGTTGATGAGATTAAGCACTTTTCTGCGTATTTATTCATGGCGGATGGCTCAGATGTCTTCTTCTGTGAATGAAGTACATTATCAAATTTCCTAACTGCCAAGTGCTGGTGGCTCAAGCCTGTAATCTTAGCTGTTAAGGAGGCTGAGATCTGAGGATCACAGTTCAAAGCCAGCCCAGGCAGGAAAGTCCGTGAGAGTCTTTCCTCCAATTAACCATCAGAACACCAGAAGTGGAGCTGTTGCTTAAAGTGGTAGACTGCTAACCTTGAGCAAAAGAGCTCAGAGACAGCACCCAGTCCCCATAAAATAAAATTAATTTTGCTGGGTGCCAGTGGCTCATATATATAATCTTAGCAACTGAGGAGGTTGAGATCTGAAGGTCACTGTTTGAAGCCAGCCCAGGCAGAAAAGTCCACTACACTCTTATCTCCAATAATCTACTCAGAAAAAGCTGGAAGTAGGGCTGTGGCTCAAGTGGTAGAGTGCTAGCCTTGAGCACAAAGAGGCTGAGGAACAGCACCCAGGTCTTGAGTTCAAGCCCCAGGACAAAAAAAAAGCCACAGATGTCTAGGATATATTATTGTTATTATTAAACTGTACTATGGATAAACATGCCCTTCAAAAATGGTTTGTGTGGGCTGGGAAGGTGGCTCAGTGGTAGAGTGCTTGCCTTGCATGCATGAGGCCCTGGGTTCGATTCTTCAGCACCACGTAAGCAGAAAAAGCCGGAAGTGGCGCTGTGGCTCAAGTGGTAGAGGGCTAACCTTGAGCTGAAGAGCTGAGGGACAGTGCCCAGGCCCAGAGTTCAGGCCCACAACCGACAAAAAAAAAAAAAAAAAATGGTTTGTGTAACTGCAATGTAACGTAATGTTTTCTCTCACATAGGAACAGCTCCCCGCCATAACTCACACACATCCTCTCAGGAGTTGAGGTTGGCTAGAGAAATGGGAAAGGCTCACTGATTACCGTCAGACTCGCATGGCAGTTCTGAGACACACACACACACACACACACACACACACAGATACACACACACAGATACACACACACACACACACACACACACACACACACACACACAAGTGTACAAAGAAAGAACCGCTGGAAACAAGACTCCAATATTCCATTATTTTAAGAGTATGTATCTGTCTGTAAATATATAGAGCCCTTTGAACAGTTTTAAAAATGCATTCACTGGGCTGGGAAGGTGGCTCAGTGGTAGAGTGCTTGCCTTGCATGCCTGAGGCCCTGGGTTTGATTCCTCAGCACCACATAAGCAAAAAGAAAAAGCCAGAAGTGGGGCCCAAGTGGTAGAGCGCTAGCCTTGAGCTGAAGAGCTGAGGGACAGCGCCCAGGCCCAGAGTTCAGGCTCCCCCCCCCCCAAAAAAAAATGCATTCACTTCAACAAGTGAAAAAAAAGTTTCGCAAGTTTAGCAAGTAAATCTGTCTGAAAATTCCAACAGGGTATATGATATTCTATTATTTGAAGAAAAGTAGCACCTTTGAATGGTCATATATTTAGCACCCATGTGCTTTGCGTTAACTCACTTTTTTACTCTTTTAGAGTGTTTTCTGGAATAGGAATATTTGTTGTAAGGAGTAAAATTACAGAGAAGATGTCTTCGGAAAATAGAAAGATTCACCAAGGAGCCCAGTAAAGGTGAGTGAGAGGAAATACCCGCAAAGCAGCTGATAATGAGATGTCTGGCAGCCAGGTCTTCCTGATGTCAGCGAGGAACAAACGGACACTGACAGAATGGCAGGCTAGGGGGTGGGCAGTTAAAAGTGACTTGACTCTGAGAAGAATCATTCATCTCAGACTCCCTTTCCTTTGGTGATATGAAGGTGCTGTGGAGCCGAAGGCAGCCAGAAGACTTGCTCCTCCCATTCCTGTCCTATTAGGCTAACTGCACTCTCCTTTGGGATTTGTATTATTATTATTATTTTTGTTGGTCATGGGGCTTGAACTCTGGGCCTGGGCGCTGTCCCTGTGCTCTTCAGCTCAAGGCAAGCACTCTACCACTTGAGCCACAGCGCCACTTCTGGTTTTCTAGTGGTTTATTGGAGATAAGAGTCTCACGGACTTTCCTGCCTAGGCTGGCTTTGAACCGTGATCCTCAGATCTCAGCCTCCTGAGTAGCTAAGATTACAGGGGTGAGCCACTGATGCCCAGCTCTGTATTACTTTTTAAAGCACCTCCCAAAACAACTCACCTAAGTGTTACACCTGCCCCGCATACCAGGGACACTGCTAATAGTTCCTGCACGTGGCATGACCAGCTTCCTATGGCTGGTTTCTGTCTCTTTGCTTGAAGGGAGTGACAAATAACCAACCAAGGGAACTTTAGACCTTTCAGAGGTAAATTCAGAATGAATGTGACACCACAGTGAGGAGCTGCCCTACCTTCTCGTCTCGGAAGTTCAGGAACTGCTGGAAAAGCTCACTTTCTGAGACCACTGGGTGGCGGCACATCCTAGTCATCCAGGCCTGAAGCCTCTCCATGCGCATTTTGATAAATTCTTCTTCAAAGCGACCTGAAAAAGATATACTATGAGTGACACAACTCTCTAAAGTAAACTGAAAAACTATTTTTTATTTTCTATGACTACTGGCTACTTGGTAGAAAGCTATTTTATAAAAGGTGCACTACAGCGATTTATCACTACCTTAAAAACATTTGCGGGAAATGCTCAAAGACCTCCAAGGAAGGATGCGACAGGATTTTAGTTTGTTGGTTTGTTTTTGGCAGTATGGGGCTTGAACTCAAGCTTCTGCACTTACCTGCCTGCTTGTTCCACTGGCATGCTACAACTTGAGCCAAGCCTCTAGCTCAGCTGTTTGCTAATTATTCTAGAGACACAGTCTCTTAAGACTTTTGTGCCCACATAGCTTCAAAGTGTAATTCTTAGATTTAAACTCCTCAGCAGCCAGGATTATTATGGGCGTAAGCCACCAGTCTTTTTCTTTTTTTGGTTGGTCGAGGGGCTTGAACTCTGGGCCTGGGCGCTGTCCCTCAGCTCTTCAGCTCAAGGCAAGTGCTCCACCACTTGAGCCACAGCGCCACTTCTGGTTTTCTGGTGGTTAATTGGAGATAAGTCTCATGGACTTTCCTGCCCAGGCTGGCTTTGAACCGTGATCCTCAGATCTCAGCATCCTGAGTAGCCAGGATTACAGCTGTGAGCCACTGCTTGGTGCCCGGCTTGGTGTCTAATTTTTTTTTTTTTTGCCTCCAAGGCCCCTCACAGGAGGCTTATTCTTTTTTTTTTTTTTTTTTTTATTGTAAAGCTACTATACAGAGGGTTACAGTTACATGAGTGAGGTACTGAGTACACTTCCTCTTGAACATTGTTACCCCCTCCATTGTTTTCCCCCTACCATCCCCTCCCTCCCTTCCTTTGGTGTCTAATTTTTAAGAATGAGTTTCCAGTTTACTATATTAACAAATACAATAGTTAAGACTTAAAATTTTAAGGTAAGTCTTATCAATACAGAAGACTATCTCTAGTTTATAAACAAACACAAAGTCAGCCTTTTCTGGATGGCCACATGAAGCTCAATGCAGTAGTAACACTCTAGAACAAACCAAGTACTTGTATTCAAAACAAAGAAAAGCAACTCTACAGGTAGATGTGGTGCTGCATGCCTGTAATCCCAGCACTAAGAGGCTAAGACAGTTGGACCCAGAGTTTAAGGCCAGCTTGGACTACAGAGCCAGTTCCAGGGCAACCAGAGACACATAAAAAGACCCTGTTCCAAAAACCAAAACAGAAAAAGCAAGAATGAGAGAAGACAGGAGAAGGAAGGAGGAGGAAGGAAACAGAGGAGGAGAAAGAAGAGAGGATGAACAAGGATTCAGGACTGAAGCTTTGCTCTCCATTAAAAAAAACAATAAAGTAGCAAAGACATTTGTTTTCATGAATCCAATAATGAGAGCTCCTAGCCTAGAACTTATAACCATGAGAAGTACAGCTTGGTAACTGTTTCTGTTCTTTTTTTTTTCTAATTTATTTTTTAAATAAGTTACTGTTTCTGTTTTAAAGGAACAAAGTGGGCTTGACAAACACCCTAGAGTCAACATCAAAGGAACACTGAGAATTTATGAGCCTACAAAACAAATTCGCCAACAGTGGAGAGGTTTCTGAAGATAGAATTCCAGCTATGGCCAGGTACCTGAGCTAATCCTCACCCCAAGCAGCACAGAAGTGGACATCACTGAGCAAACAGCACCTCTGCACTCAGGCAGACATCTGAGAAGCGGGTCTGCATATCCTGTGTATGTGGTTTGGGTCACATACTGTGAATCCAGGGCACAAGCACAAGAGCTCTAATAGCGAATGGGATCAAACATCCCACCAGGCATTTATTTGGGTGACTTCCATTTGTGTGCGCTCTGCTCCGGGTACCTCTTCACAGCTGTACTAACTACTGATGCCCTACTTGTACATCTTATTGCTCTAAAACCTGCCAGTGCATCACTAGTTCACAGGACAATCTGACTGCATCCTTTTACCTGTCATCCTATGTTTAGCATTACAAACACTCACCTGTGACTTGCTTGTCTGGAAGAGAAGGAATTGGAATGGCTGACCCAAACTTAACTAGGAGACGTTCATATAACCAGTCAAAGTGCTTATACCTGTGGTTTACAGATCGATTAGTGTTCTGCAAGACAAGAGAAACAGACAAAAAGTTAGCAATGCCAACTGCAGAAAAGAAAGAAAAAGCAGGTAATGAGGTACTCACAGTGGGTGTCAGCTGATACTCAATGTAGCTCTTCAGACCATACATCTTGGATCCTTTCCTAGGATCTGCTACCACACAGTCAAAGGTAGAGGTAGGATAAACCCACATGGGGCCATAATCTCCAACCTACACAATGGTAGAGAAAAAGTTAATTTTGTAACTGAGAAATTGCTATAAAGCAGCACATGAGCCTTTTCAAAGAGGCCTTTGGTGGACCAGTCTTGCTTTTCTTTGAGGAGGTGGACACTGGTGTCAGTCCCAGGTAAATGTCACAGACAAGGAGCACACTTGTTGGACAACTGCTGTTCACCAAGATGGTTGGTCCCTGGGGAGGCAAGATGGGGGGGGGGGGGGGGGGAGAGAAGGGGGGCGGGTCTCAGCTTCTCTAGACTAGCTGTCTCAAGCTATATATAATGAAGGGCTGTTGTTTTCAAATTCCTATCCCCCCTGCCCAGACTGGTTAGGTTTTATGAGCTAAAAAAACGCACACCTGGACTCCTCCATGCTCTTGCATTACTACCAAGTCTTCTACACACTGTTTTTACACTTATCTCATGGTATACTGGAAACAGCAGTTTTAAAATGGACAGTTGGTCTGTGGATGGTATTTTGATCAGCATTATTCTAGCTACAGAAATGACTAACTGGATTGCACAGAGGCTGGTATTTATTGTTTTACCGTGTGTGTGTGTGTGTGTGTTTGTGTGTGTGTGTGTGTGTTTGTGTGTGTGTGTGTGTGTGTGTGTGTGTGTGTGTGTGTGTGTGTGTGTGTGTGTGTGTGTGTGTGTGTGTGTGTGTGTGTGTGTGTGTGTGTGTGTGTGTGTGTTTTGTTCCTCAAAGGCAAGACTCTCAGAGTCAGGCACGGTGGAATACACCTGTAAGCCCAGGACTCGGTATGTTGAGGTTAAGGAGACCGTGGATTAGAAGCTACCTGGAACTTCTTCCCCCAGAAGGTCCATGCTAGCTATTTTCTCTTGGTACTGCTTGTGCAGAAGTAGTGGGCTGGCCTACTTCCTAAGTCAGGTGCATGCCTACCCAGCAAAGAATGTACAAAGAAGGCAGGTCCCCATTCCTCCCGCACTGTCCTGACCAGGCTTATGCTAGCACTAGGGTGGGGTAAGAATGGAAAGCAACCAAGCTTGAAGTGGGATGCTGAGAACTAGAATGTAAGTTCTGAGCTATGGATCACTTCTGCCAGGCATCTAGGTGACAACGGAACTACCACCCCACATCTGGCTGTTTTACTTGTTTAAAATTAAACCCAAGGCCATGGAGGCGTCGTCAGTGGACCTTGGCTCCCGGGGACGCTCTACATCCCCATCAGGTTCAAGCTGCATCACTCTTTCAGAAAGTTTGCTACAGAAAGGTTATAGATCTCAGAGATCCAGAACAATGGATCTTATAAAAAACACATGAAGTGCATCGGCAGTTCTTACTATCTTGAAAATATGCTATCTTCTCACATTGTGATTTAAAAAAAACCCTGGGTTATATAGTTCAGGAACAAGGTAAAAATTAAAAAAAAAAAACCAACACAAGGTCAATAAATAGCACTACTTCTTTCTTGCCTCTGACCCTCTCTGTGCTGAGAGTGGGCCTGAACTCATGGCTTCAGGTTCTTACTTAGCTTTTTCCACTCAAGAATGGCTCTCTGCCACCTGAGCCACACCTCCACTTGCAGCTTTTTGTTAGTTAATTGGAGATTAGAGTCTTTTTAGCTTGTCTGAGCAAGCTAGCTTTACACCAAGAGCCTCAGATCTCAGTCTCCTGAGTAAGCTAGGAATATAGGTACGAGCCACCAGCACCCAGAATAGAAAACTATTTATAGAAAAGAGGTTCATTCAGAGTTTCGAGGAGGAATGAAATCAGGCTTCAGTTATGTAGTTAATACAAGTATGGTAAGAAAGTAAAAGAAGCTGAGGAAGACCATACATACTGAACTGAAGGAACAGAGATTTGTGCTGGCTGAGACCTCCATGTGGAGGCAAGCGGATATAAGAGCAAAAGGATATCCAGTCCTCATTCTGTTTTAAGAGTGAAACAGGATGGAGTATAAAAGTTCAGAGGTCATTAGTCAGGGAGGTGACTGAGGACATTTAATAAAGGACTAAAGAGAAGATCTCCGGGAACAAACACTATCTGGTCCTTAGAGGAGGGGATCCAGGAGATGCTCCCAAACCTGCAGCTATGACGGCTACCTTGGGGAACATCTGAGAGGAAACACTAGCAAAGCACAGAAGCAGGTCTCTGCTTTCTTTTGTCTATGGGGTTCATGTCCACCTCTGTCTAAAACTCAGGCACAGGCTGCACCTCTCTGCCAGGTCTGCCCTGTCTGTGACAGCCCAGAACATGACGTGAAAGGCCACAGGCTCCTAATTCAATGGAGTTTGAAATTTAGTGAAAAGAAGGAGGAGGCTTTTTACAAACAGCCTTGCAGAAACAAATTATTTGTTAATCTAACTACTTAGAAGATAATTACTCCAAATTTGCATTGAGGGAAAAAGGATAAAAGGGTCTTTCCAAGATCTTAAGCTTTTCAAAGATGCTGAAATAATTATCTATCCAGTATATCCAGTATCACTCCTGCAATTTCATCATGTCTCCCAGGACCCAAAGACTATAAAATAAGACCAGTGATTCCTCGTTCTTGTTTGTATCAATGGTGACTGCATCAAGGCATCCCCTTGGGCTTACAGTTAGGTCATCAAGTTCAAAAAACAGACATGGCAAGGCTAGGAATGTGGCTCTGTGGTAGAGTGCTTGCCTACCATACATGAAGCCCTGGGTTTGATTCCTCAGTAACACATACACAGAAAAAGCTGAAAGTGGCACTGTGGCTCAAGTGGTAGAGTGCTAGCCTTGAACAAAAAGAAGCTCAGGGACAGTGCCCAGGCCCTGAGCTCAAGCCCCATGACTAGCAAACAAACAAAACCAAACAAAAACAAAGAAAAAAAAACAGCCATAGTTCTCTTTTCCAGAATTTCATTTCATTGGGGAATATAGAGCTATATACTATCTAAAATAAAATCTATCAGTCATCAAAATACAGCATAACACCAAAGACTGTGTATGTTTTGTTAACAATAACCATTTCCCTAATATTACTCTAAATCAATTCTAAAGAAGTCATTAACTCCCAGCTTTTATTTGCTTGCTCCTTGAGTTGACAGCTGGCTTGCTAGAAGAAACACTATTACCAGCATATTGGAAAAGGTACCTATTCTCTTATTATATTTGCATTTTCCCAGGATAGAAACCTAAATATCTGAATTGAGTTTATTAGCTAAACATATGGGGCAAGTAAAAAACAAACAGCATATGGCTTATGCTTCACAACACTTTAGAAAATAAAAAAGTATTAAAATACATAAAATGAATATTGTTGGTTCAGTATTAATAGTCTGAAATACTCTGAAAGTAAAAAATACCTGGACAGGGCTGGCAAGGTGGCTCAGTGGTAGAGTGCTTGCCTTGCATGCATGAGGCCCTGGGTTCGATTCCTCATAAGCAGAAAAAGCTAGAAGTGGTGCTATGTCTCAAGTGGTAGAGCGCTAGCCTTGAGGTGAAAAGCTGAGGAACAGTGCCCAGGCCCAGGCCCAGAGTTCAGGCCCCACGACCAGCAAAGAAAAAAAAAAAAAGAATATCTGGACAATAACAGGCATTACTTTATGCTAACTATTTATAGGACCCCTAAAATGCTAACCTACCTATATTATCGGTTATTTAGAAAATTACATCTATTTAAAAATATCTCCCCAAAGTCTAATAACTCTCCTAGCTTTAAGATATTATCAAAGACCTTATTTAGAAATAAAGAAAACAAATGAACAAACTTACAATGATGGGAATTTTCTCTTTGGGTTTTGCTAGTTGCTTGGCCAACAAATATTGCTCCATTCCAGGTTTTGCAAATCCAGGAAACCTGGTCATGAAGACAAGTGTTCATATAAGTCTTGTGTCTTTTCTTGTAAGAATTCTACAGTTCTCACCCAGGTTACCCTAACACACCAGTTTTAAACTTGTTCTTTCAGATGAACCAGAACTGGAAACTGTGGTAAGTGAAACCAACGTAATCAGATCGATCAGTGGCCAGGGAGCTGCTTTTAAGCTCAACAGAGGGAAGAAAGCAAGCAGCACGATTCCAGCAGGTGTGGTAACTCATGAGCACGTTACCTGCTCACCAGACCTTACTTACCCCCTCCCCTAGCCCTCAGGGTTATCGATGATGTGGCCATAGATGGCCACACTACATTTGCCCTTTAGCGCACCCAGTCGGAGAGGCTAGTCATCCCTAATTTCTGGTACTGTTCACAGCATTTGTGTCATTATCTTCTGGACTTGCCTTAAGAACCAGTTTATAAGGCAGGGCAGAAGTCTCCCTAGTGAATCAATCCAAAGTATAATAAATTTGGCTACTTCCAGGAAAATTAAAAAAAAACTACATCCAAATGGTATTCCTCAAATTGGGGAATATATGCATAGCCATTTCTCAAAAAGAAAGCATTCATTTGGGGCTTAGATTTTCTTTCTAAACTTACAATGGGAAAAAAAATTCTTATTTTTACAAAATCCCAGCTGCATTACTTGGAATTCATTCCAATACCAAGCCAAAGGCCAATGTGACATCTTAGGTCCTTTATCCTTTCTTCATTCTCAAGCTAGCTTCCCTGCAGTTTCCCACCCCTACCCCCCACTGTAACACAGCACCTACAGGAGATCACAAAGCTGGGGGCAGGGGCTGCAAAAGGAAGCTCCAGCTCTGGGAGCCTCAGCCTCCCCATGTGAAGATGGGACCAAGCACCTCTGAGCCAAGGGGATGGAAGCCTGATGTAGTGACCCTAGTGCTGTATGTACTCAGTGAGTTAAATCACCAGGAGTTGTGTCATCATCTCCTTGCAAGAATTCCCTGCAGCCTCAATGGGGTTTTCTCCCTGCTTCCTCGGCACTGAGAAGTCTGCCTGCCTCACAATTTATCACACGTCATTGTCACTGCTCAATCCAGCAGGCTGGTGGTGCCTTAGAGAACATACTGCCTACGCAGGACCTGGGAGGAGTTCTGAGAACACACTTAACTACTTCATGAATGAATAGTCTCCCCAATAGCCCCTCCATTGAACAACCTGTACTCTTGTGGGAATCGCATACAGCAACAACTCCTGGACCAGCCAGTCTCTGCAAGGGCAAAGCATACTGCACTTTTTGGTATGCTACAGATCATAGAAAAACTGGTGCTGACTATGGACACCTAGTTAATATTCTCTGAGCAGTTATGTACTTTAGTGATTACCACAGCAATCTAAGATGGAGTTCAAGCAAATTACGTCTCTGATCTCCTGCTCTGGTATAAGGTTATGTTCTATAACTACAATGCTGCTGTCACACAAAATGAATTGCTGAAAGCTGCTAATACTTAAATAGTTTTAAAATGTGTTGCAAACTTAAGTGACTTATTTATGTATGCATTAATCAAATAAGAATACATAGGGTTTTTATTTTTCTTAACTATTTTTGTGCGTGTGTATTTTCTTTTTTTTTTATTCTGGGGATCAAACTCAGGATGTTGTACTTGCTAGGCAAGTCCTTTGCCACTCAACTACATCCTAGTCCAACAGAGTTTTTAGTTGTTCCCAGTACCAGAGAGACAGAAGCTTCAGAAACACAGGTTTAAAGAGGACAACTTGAATGACATTTTAAGACAGAAAGAATCCTTAAAGCTAACTTCTTTAGAGCTGAGGAAAATGAAGTTCAAATAGCAAACTCAGAGCAAGTCTCATGGGCACAATGCAGAGAGGAACAAGAACTGGAGTCTCTGCTTTGCAAAACAGGGTCCAGAGGCAAATCACATTTAAATGGGTTGTAATCATACTTTACACTTAGGTTTAAAGAACAACTTTAGAATAATGCATATCACTATTGGCCAAAGGGATAACTTCAAATTTGAATTTAAGAACTCATATATAGCCAAGAATCAGTAACTAATTTTATTCTGCATGCCACTGACCCCCAAGAAAATACATTACATGCCCAGATCCCCGCTACCTCTACTGCCATTTACACTGACTTGTTAAGTGGCAGCTTCATGGACGAGGCACCAGGCCGTGTGCTTCCTCGCTGGGCACTGCTTGCATCAGCCGCTTCCGAATCCTTAAAGTAAGACGACTTGGGCTCATCCCAGTCTTCGTCCCAGTCATCGTCATCACCAGTTGCTAGAAGTGGGAGGAGAAGATAATCGGTGCAGAACATGAGAAAAACATAGAAAAATAAATTACTTAATTTTCTGGTAACAACTGACTGATGAAAGGTAGAAAGCAGGGCGCGGTGCAAGAGTACAATGTGGATGTTGTAAGTAAAGGCTCTTTATAAGTCAGCGTCAGGGTTGAATGATTTCTGCTTTTTGGTGGAAAAGAAAAATCAGAAAAAAGGTAAATATGAATATTAAGTACATTAACTGTGTGTGTGTGTGTGTGCGCCTGTCCTGAGGTTTGAACTCAAAGTCTGGGCAGTGCCCCTGAGCTTTTGTGCTCAAGGCTAGCATTCTGCCAACTTGAGCCACAGCTCCACTTTCAGCGTTTTGGTGGTTAACTGGAGACTTTCAGACTTTCCTGCCTCGGCTGGCTTGGAATCACGATCCCCAGACCTCAGTCTCTTGAGTAGCTAGGATCACAGGTGCAAGCCCCTGGTGCCCAGCTGGTCCACTAATTTTTGGCCACCGCCCAAATTCCTTATACAAAATAGTGCAGTATTTGCTCAACTCCTACACACATCCTGCTGTACTTCAATCATTTCTAAATTACTTATAATTCTTAACAATGAGAACAAAAGTTGTGTAAAAAGTTGTTACACTTGATTGTTTAGACAAAAATGAGAGGGGAGAATAAGCCATGTTCATCACAAGACAGACTTGTTTTTGGTCATGGAACGTGTACGTGGCCTGGGGGAGGGGAGAAATTTTGAATGAACCCAGGTTGTTGAACCTGAGGTTTCAGCACTTTTGTTGAGGGACCTAGGACTGCAAAAGGGTAGACTGTATTTAATCTCCCACTCCAGCTCCTGACACAGTCTAGTCCCTTGGAATTCACTGGGTAAGAGGAATAGCTTCCTTTTTAATGAGGTAACTTATGGCATGCTCTTCAACAGGGTTGGTCCCTCTTGATAGAGGGATTATGATTAACCAAGGCATGACAGAGGCTTAGAATTTTCAGCCCAACCACACCCTGAGATGGCTTAATATCAAGTTAATAATCAATCATGCCTATGTGATGCGGCCTTTATCCCTGCAGTGTGGGCTTCTTCACACTGTGTGAGGTGCTGGAGGTGGAGTGCCAGCGAGGGCGTGGATGCTCCACGCCTCCCCCAAGCCTGGCTCTCTGCATCTTTTCATCTGGTATTCAACAGGATCCTGACTTCCCTCTGCCATCCACTGACTTGCTTTGTAAGTCAGGCATTAGCAAATTAATGGAATCTGAAGAGGGGACTGAGAGAAGGCAGATGCGCCAGAAGGACCGTGTGGAATGGCAGAACTCCCAGGCAGTGTCCTCTGGAGATCTGGGAAGCGCCTGGGGCCTGGTCACTGTTGTGCTGGCGGAAATGGCAAGACCAGTTTGGTTTTCTGTCTCTTTACCTTCAGAAGCCTCTCCTCACCTGGTCCTTGGTAGGCCTGAGGGTGGCCGAAGGCAGCATCCCAGTTGTTGGAAGTGTTTCTCTGCGTACCAGTTGCCTCTGGCTTGGCCCCCCAGCCATCTGAGCTGTCCCAGTTCCCAGATTTAGGGGTGTTCCAGGCTGACCAGGGGTCATTACTACTACCAGCCTGTGGGGACGAGACAAAGAAGGAACACTGTGATATCTAGGAACTGACGCCATTCAGTAATGGACTGTAAACGCAGAACAGAAGGGTTGAAAGCCAATAGAATTTTATTTAGTAATTTTAAATCTCAACAGTTACACCCCCCCCCCCAAAAAAAAAAAAGCAAAACACTTCTGATGCTGTATTTGCTTAGGAACTCTGCATTTGAAAAACAGACACAAAGAAAGCATCAGACTTGGCTATAGCTCTTTTTCCTTCTAGTCAGTAACTATTTCCCTCAGCAGTCTTCATTGCCAGCATCTCCACACCCCACTGTGTATACACAGCCCCAAGTAACGACTGTTTTATGGTTTTTAAACTCACCTATGGAATTTTATACTGTTTGTGTGTGTTTCCCAGTTGGTGTTTTTTTATTACACCTGCTTAAATGCTTTATAGCAATCCATTATTTTTTTTTTTTTTTTTGTCGGTCGTGGGGCTTGAACTCTGGGCCTGGGCGCTGTCCCTCAGCTCTTCAGCTCAAGGCGAGCACTCTACCACTTGAGCTACAGCGCCACTTCCGGTTTTCTGGTGGTTTATTGGAGATAGGAGTCTCACGGTCTTTCCTGCCCTGGCTGGCTTTGAACCGCGATCCTCAGATCTCAGCCTCCTGAGTAGCTAGGATTACAGGCGTGAGCCACCAGCGCCCGGCAATCCATTATATTTTTAGTTAAGTGATTTTTATCTGAAAAAGTAACACATGTATAGTAAAAAAAAAAAAAAAAAAAAAACACCAAAAAAACACCTCAAATGGAATGAAAGGATATACAACTGAGCAACATGTCCATACCTTAGGATACCAACTAAGGCAACTGTTGTTGCCAAAAGACAAAAGCACAGCAAGTTTAGTCATAAATCTCTCAGCTTTTATTCCTGATTCATGAACTGAGCAGCTTCCAACCTATGAAAGAGAGTGAGAGGCTGTGCAGGGCAACTGTGACCAGCAATATTGATGCCCATGTATCTTGCTTTCAGTATCCTAATAAGTTCCCAAAACATAGCTTGCTGTGTTTGATCTAGAATAGGTGATTTTCAACAAGCAAGCACAGGAAAAATGGTATTTAGAACATGCTAATACCCAACACTGTTAAAGTGACACCTGTGTTAGGAAACTCATCTCAGCCACTGTAGAAAGGTTGGAAGATAGGGGCAGGCTGAGACGGCTGGATATGTGAGAAAGCAGGAACAGTAAAATCTAGAAGGTAAAGATATGAAACTTGCTTAAACTTTTTGTCCTCAAAAATTTTAACAAGGGCTGGGAAGGTGGCTCAGTGGTAGAGTACTTGCCTTGAATGCATGAGGCCCTGGGTTCGATTCCTCAGCACCACATAAGCAGAAATAAGCTGGAAGTGGCGCTGGCACTCAAGTGGTAGAGCGCTAGCCTTCAGCTGAAGAGCTGAGGGACAGCGCCCAGGCCCAGAGTTCAGGCCCCATGACCGACAAAAAAAAATTTTTTTTTAACAAAATGGAAAAATGAAACAAGCCCTGTTCAACCACTGTCCTGTGAGCTCAGAGTGACACTAGGGGTGGAAATGGCGGGTGCACACACTATGTTTGATAAGCCAGGAAAGTGGTACACGTGACAGTCCTTTGCCACTTAATAATGGACAGAGCATCAGGCAACTGTGTTGTTGCGCGCATCGCAGGTCGCAGGGTAGAGTCTCACAAATCTGGGAGGTATCAACCTCGACACACTGGTCAATAGAATTTCATGTGCACTGTCACTATGGCTCCCAGGCCATGATGAACAAAGCAGTGCAAGGTTAAACCAAACACAAGAGAAAATGTTCAATCCACAGTGGCAGTAAGTGCAGCATACAAGAGGCTGCAGTCAATATAACATGGCAGTGTTGCACAGTGAACTTTTTCTTAAGCTGACGGAGGGCATTCCAAAATAACGGAATAAAAAGTACAGTACAGTAAGTATGTAAACCAATTAATACAGCTGTTTACCATTATCACTGAGCATTATACACTGGATTAATAGAGCCACATCTCTCTCTCTTTCTGTGGTACAATGATTTGAACTCAGGGCCTCATGCTTGCTAGGTAGGTATATGCTATCGACCACTTCAGCCACATGCCACTTTTTATGTTTTACGTTTTAGATAGGGTTTGTGCTTTTAGCGAGTGGCTGGTTTTGTATCTCAATACTGCAACGCTCTGCCTTCTTAGTAGCTGAGATCACACAAGTGTCCCACTAACCCCAACCTTGCAACACACTGTTATAGGACTAGCAGCACGACGAATCACTATAAACACCTGAGTGGTCAATGTGCTATGCTAGGCTACAACATTACTGAGTGATGAGTTTTCAGCTCTATTGTAATCTGACAGGGCCACCGTTATTTATATGCAGTCCATAGACCAAGGCACTGTTAAGTAGTGTACAACTATATATATCTCCACCTTAAAATAAAAAGGTGCTCATGAACAGCATTGTCACTAAAGTGAACACAGCCTCAAGTGAGTGCTAGCTAGCATAGCTGTGACTGGACAACACAACTACACACACACACACACACACACACACACACACATATTTTTGGGTCAGTCATGGGCTTGAACTCTGGGCCTGGGTGCTGTCCCTGCACTCTTCAGCTCAAGGCAAGTGCTCTACCACTTGAGCCACAGGGCCACTTCCGATTTTCTAGTGGTTTACTGGAGATAAGAGTCTCATGGACTTTCCTGCCTGGGCTGGCTTTGAACTGTGATTCTCAGATCTCAGCCTCCTGAGTAGCTAGGATTATAGGCGTGAGCCACTGGTGCCTGGCAAAAACTATATTGTTATGTAAAATGGCTAGGAGAACACTGATCTACTAGAAAGATTTTAAATCCTACATAACCACAGGAATAGTGATTAAGGATTTAGACTCTAAAGTCAATCTAGGTTTGTGTCCCTGCTCTACCACTCACCAGTTGCATATACAGCTTCCACTGTATTTTTAAAGTGGCTGTAGTTACATTACCTTCCTATAGGGGTTTTATTAAGTATTACATGGCATAATCATGTAATAATAATACAAAACATGTAACAGAATACTAGTACATAGCATGTATTCATTTAGTACATTATCTTAATGTATATGGGAACTCATTTAAAATAAAAAGAAAATAGCCAGGTACAGTGGTACATGCCTATAATCACAGTGGTCAGAAGGATGCCAAGTTTGAGGCTAGTATCGGCTAAGACACCTTGTCTTAAAACATAAAATAAAACCGAAAATATAAAAATAAAATATAAAGAAAAGAATGAAAACCAGTATTTTTTTTGAAACCAGTATTTTCTGAGCAAATTCCCCATCTGAGTACCACATTTATTAGCTTATGCTACAAATAAGAAGGCCAAACAGTTTTATTGCAAATGGTTCAGCACTAAGTCGTATTACTAGAGAAGCTTAGAGAAAATTCTAGGCACTTGCAATCTATTCTCTTCACAAACATAAAAGAGGCTGGAGAGAGAACTGACATCTTCTGTGTGCTGAACGCTGAGAGCCTGGTGTGTTCAAATCTAAGTCCTACGGTGACGAGCTGGGTTAGACGCCTGCTTTACGTACGGATCCCTCAGCCGCTAACTTCATGGCTCTCAGCCTCAACGGCTCCTTTCCTTTGTCTGTCAACTGCAGCCCTGTTCAAATAACAGCCTTGTGTTGGCTGCCATTTCAGTTTCTCCATTTTTTCCTTCCACCTTTCCCTCCCTGGTCATTTCTACCAAGCATCACTTCCAGTCTCTTCTCTGCCCCTTCCCGGTTGCAGGCACTCAGCCACAGAGTGTCACCCGTTCACTAGAGCTCACTGCCCAGGGACAAATGCCCCAGTGAAAGCCACACATAAATGCCTGCAGGGTCGTCATTCTTCAGCCGATGCTGAAGAAAAGCCTTCTCGAGACCCTTTACCTGAAACCATTTCCTCATGTGGGAAGAAACACTTTTAAGGGTTGGTAAATGTTTATTTCCTCTTACATTTAAGTTTGAAATTTACCTTATTTATGAAAGAAGGAGAAGGAGAAGAAGAAGAAGGTGGTGACTGGCTGCGACTTTCAACACAACCAATCTGAGCCAAAATATCAACCTTAAAATAAAAAGGTGCTCAGTGAATGGGTGAAGAGTATACCAGAAGTTTTAGCTCAACACTGCAAATTTATGGCAGAGCTAAATTCACTAGAAAATTCTGCATGCCACTCACTCACCCACAAATGTTACATGCAAAAAGCCCCCAACTGTCACAGGCTGGCACGCAGCCACAGTTAGCATCCAAAGTCTGCTGCTCGTACTACAAGACAGTATCATTAGCTAGGCACTAGTGGCTCACACCTGTAATCCTCCCAGGAGGCTGAGATCTGAGGATCACAGTTCAAAGCCAGTGTAGGCAGGAAATTCGGCAAAACTGATCTTCAGTTAAACAACAAAAAGCCAGAATTAGAACTGTATCTCAAGCGCAAGAGTGCAGCCTTGAGTGAGAAAGCTAAGGGGCAGCACCCAGGCCCTGGGTTCAAACCCCAGTGCCACCGCATATGCAAAAAAGACAGTTATCACTGAAGCACTAAAATCAATTACAGGTAGCCCAGAAGGAATGGAACAAGTAATCCAGAGGAAAAACATATAGCCAACGTTTCAAAATGTTAAGATTTTGAATCTTTTGATTTGAAGGGCACTAAATGTGACTGCGCCTAGCCGACATGAACAGCACTGTCACTAAAGCGAACACAGCGTCAAGTGAGCGCTGGCTAGCATAGCGCTGGCTGAACACAACAGTCCGGCCAATTCATGAGCTCTGGGGCGACAGAGAACAGCTTCTTAATGTGTGCTCTTAAGGCACGGCGTCTTTCTGACATGGGGTCACAGTTTTGCTTCCATGAGGCCACTCAACAAAACTGCCAAGAGGAGGCCACTCAACAAAACTGCCAAGAGGACAACTGTCATGAGCCCAACTTCCAGGTCTCATCTCCTAGCCTCACAATTCCC